TTGTGCTGCTACAAACATTGATGTGGCTGCATCACTGTGGTATGCTGTTTTTAAGTCCCTTGGGCATAAACCGAGGAGTGGGATAGCTGAATCAAATGGTGGTTCCATTCCAAGTTTTCTAAGGAATCTCCATACTGCTTTCCTTATTGGTTGCACCAATTTGCAGTCCCATCAACACTGTATGAGGTTGCCTTCTCCCCTGCATCCTCACCAACACTTATTATTGTTTGTATTCTTGGTAAATGTCATTCTGACTGGAGTGAAATGAAATCTTAGAGTAGTTTTGATTTGCATTTCTCTAATTACTAGAGATGTTGAACATTTTTTCATATATTTGTTGATAGAATGTATATCTTCTTCTGAGAACTGTCTGTTCAGCTCCTTAGCCCATTTATTGATTGGGTTGTTTGGTTTTTAGGTGTTAAGTTTTTTGAGTTCTTTATATATCCTAGATATTAGTGCTTTATCTGACATGTGTGTGGTAAAAATTTGCTCCCAAAATATAGGCTTTCTCTTCACCTCAATTGTTTCTTTTGCTGAGAAGAAGCTTTTTAGTTTGAATCCATCTTATTTATTAATTCTTGATTTTTTATTTCTTGTGCTTTAGGAGTCTTGGTAAGGAAGCCAGGGCCTGATTCAATGTGATGAAGATTTGGGCCTACTTTTTCCTCTATTAGGCACAGGGTCTCTGGTCTAATTCCTAGGTCCTTGATCCACTTTGAATTGAGTTTTTTGCATGGTGAGAGATACGGGTTTAGTTTCATTTTGCTGCATATGGATTTCCAGTTCTTCCAGCACCATTTGTTGAAGAGTTGGGTGTTAAACCACGACGCAAAGAAAAGACCACTGACTCCAATTTTGAATCAAATTAAAGCAAGCTTGTATTTGTACACTGGAGCTGGCTAGGACCATCTCTCCCAAAAATCCAGGGCTAGAGATCAGTACCCCAGCTCTCTAGGAACACAGTTTTATAGCACAAAAAATTGCAAAGAGGGGTGTCTTGAGAACTTACAGATAACAGGATTTTGACAAGCATAATACAAAGGCAGATAGTAGTGATCTACATGGCTTAACATTTCAAGGTAGGGAATAAATTTAGATTCCCAACATTAGAATTTATGTGGTGCCACTGAGGTTTCAGAGAGGGCTGTTATTTGGTCAGGGAAAGCCAGGCATGGGTGAGTTCAAGGCAGGAATTCCAAACAAGTTTAGAAATAGCAGTAATTCATAGTAAAACAGAAATTAACTTTTCATGACTTTGTGATGAGATGGCTCCCAATCTTAAAATTTTTGTTCTTCAAATGACAACATAATAAAATGAAAAGAAGACTGAGATATTTATAAATAAAGTGAAAAGTAAAACAATTGGCAAATTATATATGTGTTGAAGGACTTGCATCCAGGATATCTAAAGAACTCATATATGTAGCTTGATAATAAAAAGACAAACCATCAAGTTGAAATATATCAAAAAGGATAGATGCATGAATGGCTAATAAGCACATTGAGAGATGCTTAATATCAGTTGCTATCATGAAAATGCAAACTAAAACTACAATGAGAAACTAGTACATTAAATATAAGAGCTACATCAAAAGGCTGATAACACCACTTGCTGGGGGAGATGTGGAGAAACAGTTATACATTATTTGTGGGAATTTAAAAAGATACAACCACTTTGGAAATCAGTTCACGGGTTTCCTGGAGTTAAACAATTTTTACCATTTGACACACTAATGTCACAAAATATTGTGTATATAAATGTTTACAGCAACAATATTTATAATAGCCCCAAACTAAGAATAATCCAAATATTCATTAATGGACAAATAGATAAACACAAGGTAATATATCCATACAATGAAATAGTACTTTACAATAAAAAGGACAAATTACTGATACATGTTACCACTGGATGAGTCTCACAAATGTTATGTCAAGAGAGAAAACAAACAAACAAAAAACAGACACAAAAGACTATATATCTATGATTTTAATTATCTGACATTTCTAGAAAAAGCAAATATTTCTAGAAATAAGTAAATTAGTAGTTGCCTAAGGTTAGAGGTGAGTATTGACTGCAAATGGGCATGAGGGAGCTTTCTGAAGTGATGTAAATGTTCTAAATTGGTTGTTGGTGATGACTGTTCAACTATGTACATTTAATAAAAATCTTTGAACTGGGCTGGGGTTGTGGCTCAATGGTAGAGCACTTGCCTAGCATGTGTGAGGCACTAGCTTCAATTCTCAGCACCACATATAAAAAAATAAAATAAAGGTCCATCAACAACTAAAAAATAAAAATCATTGAACTGTGCCTTAATGGGTAAAGGGTAAAATTTAAAGTACTTAAGTCATATCTTGAGAAAGTATAATAGGACTTTTTCTGTGTCCCCCGATGGAGTCAATTTTTCTCTGGGAAAGAGTATCCTTAGATCTGCAAAGCCTAAAGTTGCTGAAAAGAGAAGCACAAATACCCCAACATGTCACTAGAAGTGATGGTAATCGGGGTTACTTTTGTTATTGCCCTAAAGCCATATATTTTACCTATTGGGAACACAGCAGCATGAAACAGTCAAAGATTTAGGGTACAAACTGCATTCTGGGAGAAGATGCCCCATTCTCACAGGGTATTGTCTCTTAACTGGTATCTCAGCTGTGCTTTCAAAAGTCCTTTATGTCACTCTCTTGGGCCAGCAACTTCCAGATGGTACAGTATACAGAAGGATCATCCTGAGCTCTCTTCCATGCCTACTTTGTTAAATGAGTCCTTTGATCTGATGAGATGCTGTGTAGGATCCCATGTCATTAGATCAAACCTTCTGTGAACATCTGGATGGTGGTGTTGGCTTAAAGCCCTGAAGAGCGGACAGACAACCCATATTCCAAAGACTATTGATTTCAGTCAAGGTGAATCACTGTCCCTTTCAGAATGGAAATGATGTAAGGCAATCAACTTATCAGCAAGCCACTAATTAGTCTCTTCAAATGAGTGTTGGTCTCTGTTGCTGGAAGTTTAGATGTTTAGCTGCTGAAGTAGCTATATTAACCTTTGTGAGTGAAAGCCCCTGCTGTTTTTTCCATGGTTTTCTGCAACCTTGGCTACTCTGGTCATTGTACTACTGATAGATGTTGGGTGACATCAACTATCTGGTTGTTTATCCAAGGGAGGCTTTGAAGATATACCTAATACAAAGGACAGCTAAGGAGGTGGGATAAGCCAGACTTCCTGTACTGCTGTAAACAGATTATTGCTCTATCCTCTGAGAGAAGGGAACCAGAGCCAGGGAAATGCACAGGTGGGAGGGACCTGAAATATCTAGTACTTCCTCAGGATGACTGTGCCTGAGACTTTTCAAAAGAAAAAGACACATGGAGTTGTGCAGCTTTAAGTTGGGAGGGCAAGGATTTGAATGAAGACTTCCTGGACATGTTTAAATTTGCAGGTGATAGAATCCAGAGAGGATAAGGCCACTGTAGCAGGAAGGGAGTCATGGCTTCCAAGAAGCACTGCATATCGAGTTCAGAATAATTGTTTCAGAACTGATTTCTCTAAGTTCGTAAAGATATTAGATGTATCCTTTTGTTGCCCACCTCCAAGAAATCAACTTAATGTGGTTTTGTAAAAAATAGAATCTAGTAGAAAATTATTGGAATGTACTTTAGAAGCCAAAGTTCAGGAATGTGGACGTGGCCATGACTTTGAAAAAAATAGAAATGAAGAACTGGGAACACACTGAATGCCCCATCATCACTTGGTTTTGCTTTTGTCTCATTCCCCCTGCCCTCTCCTCTTTCTTTCCTCTTACAGTCCACATGTCACACATGAACCCAAGTTTTCATGCTGTGGATCCAGTGACCAATGATAATCTCCAAAAGCCAGCAGAAAGAATCAGATTGGTCTAGATAGTGTCACTGTCACACAGCATAAACATGAGTGATTTGCCCTGGGCATGAAGAAGAGGAAAGGCTAGAAAAAATGTCCCCCAAAACAGGATTGTGGTTCATAGGCTAGAAATTCACCCCAAAAGGTGCTACAAGATAAATCTGCTGATCCTGTTAAAAGTATAGTATGAAACTCTATCTTCAAGTGTCATAAAACTTCCTTGGAGAAGTTATTTAACTTGTTTCATTAAAAATAAAAATGTTCCTTTATTAATTGGGTGGTTACCCTTTGCCAGAAACTGTGATTTGTATTTTTTTTTTACATATGTACACACTAATCCTGACAATGACTCCATGGGGTTGGTTTAATTATTTCCACTTCACAAATCAGGAACCCAAGGAACTATAAGATTAAATAATTCTGCTACATGCTTGAAGTTACACAGGCATTACTCCATGTTCATCTGGCTCCAAAGTCCATAGTCTCAACCAAAAGGATAATTATAAGCACATGTGAGCCATTATTTCCATTGTCCAATCTCAGATCCTGAAGAGAGAGAGAAAACTGAGTTTGACCATCAGGATCTGGATGGTAGCAAAAAAATCCTGGAGGGGAATAAAGAGATTCTGAATATAATCTTAGCATTGTAATGATTTATCTAAATGAAGAAAGCTAGAGGTTGTCTTCTTGGTCCATATTATGTAGAGTTTGACCAGTATTGACAAATTACTTGGAGAATTTGGCTAGGAACAGATGTGCTCTGTGTATGGTAAGAGAAGGAAAGTTACTCAAAATTGGCTTTAAGATATAAAGCAGGAAAGAATTAAAAAGAGAACAATCTGAGCTCCTATAGTCAAAGGGGTTAAATGATGTGATTCAGGATGTGTCTTTCTGTCCATCATTTTCCAAAATAGTCACTTGGCTTTCAGTTTAGACACTAATTTAATGACTTTTTACATTGTCATGCTGCCTATTGTAAAGTAGAATGAACAGAAAACAACATAAATAGTACTTATATGTGCCAACTAGTCTGTACAAGAATAAAAGAGAAGTCTATTTTTTAACAAAGTATTTTATTGCTTACTTATAAAAATAAATTACAATCGTTACTTATCCTTGATTCTAAGTGTAATCATCATTTTCATTCTAAAGAGTTGATATTCAGTCCTCAGTCACAGTTTGGAAAATATTGTGTGGGACCATTGAGCAGGTCTATGCTTAGTAGAGATCATTTCCCAGGGGACCTCTCACCTTCACCGAGGGAAGCATTCCTGACTTACCAGTTTCTTTACAGCAATCTTCACATCCTTGTTTCTGAGGCTATAGATGATGGGATTCAACATGGGGGTCAACACTCCATAAAATAGGGAGATGAGTTTGTCTGAAATATCTTGCTTATCTGCTCCCAAGGGGTCCTTTGATTTGGGCTTTGCATACATGAAAAGAATAGTCCCATAGAAAATTACCACCACAGTAAGATGAGCAGAGCAGGTAGAGAAGGCCTTTCGCCGCCCCTCAGCTGAGGGGATCCTCAGGATGGTGGTGAGTATAAAGATATAGGAGACAAGGATGAACAGAACTGGGACCCCCAGGAAGATCACATTGGCTACTCCCATGCTGATCACATTGATGGAGATGTCGGCACAGGCCAACTTTAGGACTGCCAAGATCTCACAGGTGAAGTGGTTGATGACACTGTCCCCACAGAAGGGCAATTGTACTGCAAGAGAGATCTGCACCAAAGAGTTGGTTCCACCAGCCACCCAGGAGCTGATGGCCATGGGCACATAGGCAGCCTTACTCATGATCACAGAGTATCTAAGGGGGTTGCAGATGGCCACATAGCGATCAAAAGCCATCATGCCCAGGAGCACACACTCTGTGGCCCCCATGGCAAAGGAGAGAAACATCTGCACAGCACAGCCTGAGAAAGAAATGGTTTTCCTGGGAGTGAGGAAACCATCTAAGACCAGAGGAATGGAAGAGGTTGTGTAGCAGATGTCCAGGAAGGACAGGTTCCCCAGGAAGAAGTACATGGGTGTGTGCAGGTGGGAGTCAAGGATGGTCACCAGGATGAGGATGCCATTGCCCAGCAGGATCACCAGGTATGTGAGCAGGATGAGCACAAAGAATGTTTTCTCCAGTCTTGGCTGATCTGACAGCCCCAGCAAGACAAATTCGGTCACAATGGACTGGTTTGCCTCTTCCATTTTAAACGCTCTCTCCCACTCTCAGGAAAACTGAGGATAGTGCACACATGTTTATTGGGATCAGTATGTTTAGAGATGAGGCCCTTTTATAGCTGAGTTGACTAGTAAAGTCACTGTAATGCTGTTAGTAATGCTTTCTCCAGAGCAATGCAGACAATTCTACCGAGCCTTACAGAGGGATTGCTTAAAGGGGTCATTGTGTATAGAATGCACTTTGGTCACTGTAGAACCATGGACCCAGTGTATTAGAGAAAATCAATTACAATGAAATTTTCCTAGAACTTATAGGACCCTTTGAGATGCCAACTTAGATCATCATTCAAAGAATAAAATCCACTATCTACTGAAGTTACCTTCAAAGTTAGGATATATCAGCTGGGTGTGGTGGAGCACATCTATAATTATAGTGACTTGGGTGACTGAAGCAGGAGAATCTCAAGTTCAAGACCATTCTGGACAACTTAGCAAGACCCTGTCTCAAAATTTAAGATAAATAAATAAATAAATAGAGCTGGGAATGTAGCTCAATGGTAAAAATATTATTGAGTTCAATCCTCTGTGTGTGTGTGTGTGTGTGTGTGTGTGTGTGTTATCAGAATATATCAGTCAAAGCAGGACAAACATCCCCTGGAAATCTAAGCAACCATGATCTATGAAAAACCTGTAGTCAGTTCAGTAGAGTTAACACACTTGAAGGAAGAAATATGTGCAGCCCTTTATTTGCGTCTATGTGAAAATCATAAAAGAGGAAACTTGAGGATGCTGCATTGTTCCCAAAATGACCAGGGAAGTGGACTCTCCCAGCTAGATCTGCCTGTCCCTGAATTGTCCCTGTAGTACACTTGAGGGCTTCAAGCTGTCACACTCAGAAATGTTGGTCTCTGACATCATCTCACTCACTTCTCTGGTCAAAGTCTATGAATGTTTAATAATTTTCTGATTCAGCTTCACTAGGAATCTTACATGGAGAGAACTTAACGAGCAGAGGCCAGGAAGATTGGGGTCTACTTAGAATCTATATTTGTTACGTTGTCCATAGTACTGCAATTTCCCCAGTCTGCTCCAGACCCCTGAAAGAACAGAAATAGAATCCTCATGCCTCTCAGGGTGACTTTTGTAACTTTTTGACTGAACTATGTGTTTTTGGAGATGTTTTCTAAGTTACAACTTCTAAATCAGGTTCTTATATATCTGAATTGACCATTTAAAGCCACTGTAATGCCATTGTCAAGTTTTTTCCACAACAAAGCAAATAATTCTACCCATCCTCACAGAGAGCTTACTTGAAGAAGGTGCCCCATGTAGAGTGTACTTTGTGTCACTACAGAAGCGAGGGCAGAGTACATTAGAAAAAAAAGAGACCTCAAGCCTTGGCTTCTTGGGTCAAAAATGAGGAAATTGAAGTTCAGAGAAGATCACAAGTAGCCAGGACAGGGCCAGGTGGTTCTTCATCTTCTCCCTAGGGATCCTTTCATCACCACTCTGATTCTTGTTCTTCTGTTCATGCCAGAGTGTTTCCACTGGGGATTAAAGGATGAATTATGAAGTCTCGGTCATTCTTGCTTTCCCTAAGACATACATGAAAAATAGAGGTATCCCACCTTTCTCCAAGATATCTGTCTCATGTCAGCTGCACACATTGCATCTGAGACTATTGTACTGTCTCTGGTAGAGGAAGACTGGGTAAGTGAAATCAGACACAGTTTGAAGCTATCCTCACGCATTTATCAGCAATCAACTGTAGGCACCAGGCGTATTGGGAGAAAAGAGATCTGTTTTCAGAGATATTAGTACTACTGACTGGAGAATCTAAGACTTGGCTGGAATGTTGCAAAGTAACTTGTCTTGAGAAGGGAAACCTCCCTCTCCGCCACTGTGTGACTACCCTCCATGAAACGATTCTGCTCTGAACACCTTGAGTTGTGTGGAACACACATCTCCCACGCTTTTTTCAGGCAGCCTTGATTATTAGAAAGCTTGTTCTCACATTGAACAGAAACTTCCTTCTTCTAATGTCATTCCCCATGTGTCCCCTCACTCTATCTTGTCCCCACACTAGACTCCTGGTACATGCCGTCTCCCTGTCCACTATAAAGGACCTTCAGAGAAATGGAAGCTGGGACTAAGTACCCACCTTGGATTCCATTTGTCCTTGCATTCCACCTTTGCTCTTCTCACCTACCTGGAGAAGCTTTGGTGACAGAGAGAACAGGTCTATGTCCATTGTGGAGATAAATCCATGATGCAAAAGTGAGGTCTCGCATATAGAAGGTTTCATGGCAAGAAAGGTGCTCAGGCCTCTGGGATTGGGAAGTGGTTATTTCAACTGCCCACCTCAATCATCCCTGGTCCTGTTCAGTCTTTGGAGGCTAGAAATATACAATAAATTCTGTTTAAGTGTCTTGGAACTGAGCAGTCCCTTCAAATTGCACCATAAGGTAAAGAAAATTTAGGATTGGCAATAGCTGGAGAAGCTCTAGCTCCTCGACTTCTGGGCTTCTTCATGCCCAATGCGAAACAAAAAGAAGGTCAACTCGAGGATCCACTTCCCAGCTTCTCCTGGCAGTCATACCTGGCCTGCATAGCCAGGTACTTTCTGTTCTTTGTCCTTTACTCTGCTCTCCAGAGGTTCTACCAAGGTGCTATGTAGCCATTTAGAGTTCTAGTTGTTTGGGGCCCAATTTTAATCCCAGAAGCAATTTAAAGTTTGGTGAAAGGCCTCACGGCAGTTTAGGGCCTGTGTCCCATATAAACCCAATTAGGGAAATTTAAGACAGGTCTATGTAAATCTTAACTCTAACTACAGAGGAATGTTTCTTAGAGGAGAAAGTACCCCTCCCCCCCACACACACCCAGGCTTGCTGGTCTTCTAGGAAATAGATGAAATAACTCAGGTCTGACTGTGTCCTGACCACAATATTGTATCTTTCTGAGGGGGCTCTGCCTTTGTCTTTGCAAAGATAAGTATCAAAACAAGAAGGAGGTTTGCCAAGGCTGAGAGAGAGACTTGGTCATCCAAATGCTCCCTATGTAGCTGGTCTCCCTGAAGTTCCTCAGCACATCTCCAGAGCTGACCAAACCTGGCCTTATCCTTGAAAACAGGAGGAAGAGGGCATGCTCCATGAGCCAGCACCAGTCACTAGAAGGAGAGCAAAAATGACCAGATCATGGCTTCTCACCCCCAAAAGATGAGATGATTGCCTAATGCCCTAAACTTTTATGGGAGACCAGGAGTAGGGAAGAGTCAGAGGAGAACGGTCAGATGCAAGGGCATCATGGAACCCTATCAGAAGAAGACATTATGGGGCATAGGGCCAGATCACAGATAAAGAGAAGGCTGAATTAAGGGCAAAGTTTTACAACTAAGAGAGAGAAACAAACAAAATCAAAACAAGCTGGGTGTGGTGGTGCTTGCCTATAATCCCAACTACATTATGAGGCTGAGGCAGAAGGATCACAAGTTGCAGGCCAGCCTGGGCAACTTAGTGGAGACCCTGTCTCAAAAAAAAAAAAATTTTAAAGGGCTGGGGATGTAGCTCCAAGTACATTAGATTATTAGAAAGCTTGTTCTCACATTGAACAGACAATTGTTAAAATCTAGGCAAGAAGACAATTGTTAAAATCTGGGCTTGATCCCCAATAATGCAAAAGAACTAAACAACCAAAAAGATAAAGAAGATGGAAATTGGAGGGTAGTATTTAAAACAGCATAGTAGACTGGGGACTAAAAGAATGTTTTGTCAAAACATCCTCTAGCTATCCCTTTACTCTGTGCCAGGCACTGGGGTGGTTACTGAGGTTGAGATAAACATGTCTTTCCTGTATTGAAGAGTGTGTGGATTAGTGGACATGGAGGGGTTTGACTTTAAGTGGGACAATGATATCAGTAGTGGCTCCATGTTGTTTTTATTTTGCGGGTGGTGGGGGGTAACCAGGGATTGAACTCAGGGGCTCTCGACCACTGAGCCACATCCCCAGTCCTAGTTTGTATTTTATTTAGAGACAGGGTCTCACTGAGTTGCTTACTGTCTTGCTTTTGCTGAAGCTGGCTTTGTACTTGGGATCCTTCTGCCTCAACCTCCTGGGCTGCTGGGATTATAGGCATGCGCCACTGTGCCCAGCGGCTCCATGTTTTGAGAACAATAGAATTGGCTTTAACCAGTATCTCTTTAACTGGCTTCCCAGATTAACTAATACTACCCATTCCCTGTGCAAAACGTATGACCCAACACCCAAATCAGGTGGCAGGCTTCCCAACACATCTGCTTAGTACTAAAAGAGGTGCTTTTGTTTGTTCTCAGACTGCTCTAGCCAATTGTTAATTTTATAGTTACATTAGTTTAATTTAATTTCTGCAAACTGAGCTAAAAAGAGGGTGGAAAGAGTTATTTTCATGGGAACTAAGGTCGAATGCTTTGTATAAATTTATTAAAGGGAAGTTATTAAAATAAAGTGCTGTCATATCAAATGTCAGGAAGACAATTGTTAAAATCTAGGCAGATTCTGCATGCTGATCCTTTTGAAAAATACTAACTTCCTACTCTACTTTAAGGAAATTAAAAACTGCAGACAACATGCCATGTTATGATTTACTTATGACTCCAACTAGTGGACTTAAAAGCAAAAAAAAGCCCTCTCTGCATAAAAGATAGGCAATGAAGTCCAGTTATGTTTAAGCTTAAAATAAAATGTTCAAGGCAGGGGTTCTCAAACTTTAAACTCGTCTTGAGTGGTTCTCAAAATTTAATCCCTTAATATTCTTCAAATATTTCTTTTCTTTTTTTTCTGCCCCTTCTGATATTCCTATTATGCATAAATTACACCTTTTGTAGTTGTCTCATAGTTCTTGGATATACTTGTGTTTTTGCTTTGTTTTGTTTCAGTCATTTCTTTCTTTGCTTTTTAGGTTTGAAATTTTCTGTTGACATACTCTTAAGTTGGGAGATGCTTCCTTAGCCATGTTCCATCTACTACTGATGACCCCATTGAGGTATTATCCACTTCAGTTATAGTGTTTTGGACATCTACCCCCTTTTTTTTTTATCCTTAGGATTTCCATCTCTCTGCTTAGATTTTTCTTTTTTTCCCTTGTTGTCAACCTTTTCCTTTAGAGTTCTTAACATATCAATTATAGCTATCTTATAATTCCAATAACCCTGCCATCTCTGAGTCTGGTTCTGAGACTTGGTCTGTCTTCAAACTATACTTTTTGCCTTTTGGCATGTATTGTAAGTCTTTAGCATGTATTTATAATATATGCTTAAAATAGGCCTTACATGCAGTAAATAGGCCTTAGTGATGTGGTGGTAAGATGTCCAGGGAGGGTAAATGTTTCATGATCCTAAAAATAGGTCTTAGTCTTTTAGGGAGCCTGTGTCTCTGGGCTCTCATCTTCACAAGGGCCTGTCAGTCCTCCCATGTCACTCAGGAAGAACAGGATATTTAGAACTGGCTGGATGGAGTTGGGTCTCTAGTGAAATAGAAATAAACCAGATGCTATGAGAAACAAAATTAGAACAGAAATCATGTGCCCCGGGGGAGAGTCAAAGCAAAAGGTATGAGTAGCTAGGGAATCTCAAGGAATATTCACTGTGCAAACATTAGGAATTACATGTTCTTACAGGTCATATACCCATCAGTAATAATAACAATAATAACAGTAAGAATGATGGATGTTGTTTTTTAGTTATCTACCATGTGTTGGGCATTGTGCAGATATGCATTCTCTCATTTTAATTTAATGCTGGCAAGAAGCCAACGAAGTAGGTATCTTTATTTACATTACAGAAATGAGGAAATAGGTTCAGAAAGTTTAGTCATTCTACAATGCATACTTACATAAAAACATCAAGTTGTATAACACACACACACACACTCACACACACACACACAAAATATTTACTTGTCGATTAAAACAAATTTTTAAAAGATTGCTTGGAGCTGAGGTTGTAGTTCAGTGGTAGAGTGCTTATCTAACACCCTTATGGGAGGCCCTGGGTTCCATCTCTAGCACTGCGAAAAAATAAACAAACAAAAACAAAGTAAAAAGATTGTCTCTTTTAATGTCTCTTTTTGAGTATAAAGCTAAATCATTTCTTCTAAAAAAGAGAAAAAAAATGATGAGCTCTAGAGAACGTTTGGGCAGCCCCGAAGCCCCTGGTTGTCATGTACAAGGCCAGCTGCCGCCCACTATTTGCTCACATAAATCAATAAATTCAATCATTTGTTTAAGCTGGCTCAACTTTGGGTTTCTCCTGCTTACAAATAAAAATGATTAATGAATAAAATTGATTAAATATGATCAGTCTCAAGGCCATTATGGCTAGAGAGGACACCAAATGTTATCACAGTAAAGTGGGATGGTATCCATACTTCGGGTCAATGGGGAGTCCATTTGCAGCTTAGATCAAATAAGAAAGGGACAATTTCTGTCAGAAATATTGGACACTACCCTCCCCTTTGGTATAGCATAGAACAAAGGTTACACATTGAAGTAGAGGACTCAAGTATAGAAAAAAAGCTCTGGAGTTGGCCAGGGAGCAAAAAGATCAAGCCTTAGACAGAAGCAGCTCTAGGCAGGTAAGTAGTATTTTGCTAAGACCTGCTTAGTCAGAGATCTTTGATGACACAGAACAGAGAACCTTTCAAGTAATCCTTAACTGGGGCCAGGAGGTGAGACCCAGTTAGTATGGAATTATGGTGTACCTGCTGAGCAGGCTCAGGGGTTGGGAAGTTTCTCTTATAAGTGGATGAAGGGGAGGCAGCAAGCAAGTAGTGAACTTTGAATTGGAGTCTGGTGTCTATCAAAAGCAATTGATAAGGACTGGTATTAAAAGGAGGTAGGACACTCTGCTAATAAAAAGGTCCTGGGTACTAATTATTCCTTTGTGAGAAGGAGATGGACATCGGTATCAAAGTTCTTTGTGCATCTTTGTAATCCTTACAACACCATTTTTCCTTGTTAGACCAGGGGAAACGCACAGAGATCTCACTTATAATGTGTGGACTCAGCTGGTTCTCCCAAAGGTGTTGTCCTTTCCATGGAGACTGGAAACAATCCCTGACGATACCTAGTTGGAGACATCTGTGGCCCATAGACTACCTCAGGCCTTGAGCTAAAATTTGCATGGTCTCTTAGGAAAAAGTTTCAGCCCTCACTTACACCCGCTGCAGAAGTCCATTGGCCACACAAAATGTCCTATCTCTGAGCACCAAGTGGGGGCAAGAGAAAGCTAAAAGGTAATTGGGGAAAGGTACTTTACTGAGTACCTATATGCAAATTACTTTTCTAGGTGACACAGAAAATATTACCTGGAATTATCAAGTCCCTCCTAAGACTGTCCCAAACCTGGGCACTTTTACTTTTGAAGGTCCTAACTCATATCATGTCAAAATGAACTTTTATCTCATTTCAATTTCATGGTAAATTTTAAATGTATTTTTCTATTTATGTTGTTAAAATTGTTTGGCTTACAAGTGACTGAATTTACAATTCTATGCTTTCTCAACAAGTTTTATGAAAACACAGGAATTCTTGCAAAGTGAAATTAACCTAATTTACAGATTGTTTTAAAATAATGATGTATGAATATAAACATTTATTCATTATTAATGAGGCTGAGATAATGTGCCACTTAGTAGACATATAGATAATCACAAGGGTTTTTTTTTTTTTTTAGGATTTTGTTTTGTTTTTTGTAATCAGGTGCCAACATGTTTTCTAGACCGCAAACATCTTTGCCCTTAAAGAAGATGCCATAGAACTGATTACTGCACCCTTTCTCCCTGCTTATTCTCTGTGTAGGAGTTGAAACACTTATAAGTATGAATTAAGATCCATTTATGGAAGTGAAAATTAAAGGAATTTACTTTAGCAAATACTTTTTAGGGCACATTTGTTTCTTTGAACAAAAGCAATTCAGTGAGCTTCTTTCCTTGGGAGTCAGGGTATAGGCCACGCCAGAAAAGGACCCACAGCAATGATATGAATGAAAACCTGCTGTTCACACTTCTGTGCTGAGAATGTTGTTCCCTGTCAGAGGTTGAGCTCCCCAGATGCTGACTCTAATGGGGAAATTGTCCTGCAGAATGTTTACTGGAAGCTCTCTTCAGATCAACATCCACGGGGATGGGCAAAGGAAGCAGGGCTGTGCAGAGGGAGGACATAAGCCACCATGGGGAAGCTCTTGAGCTGGGAGGCAGGATGACTGGGTGAGGTAGTTCTCTTTAGCCCAGAATAACCCCGAATACTTAGCTGAATGCTGTCAGCCACCCACATGCCCAGCAGCTAGGGTAACAAGTTCTTCAGCCCTACGTAGGGATGGGGATCTAGGCAGCACACCACAGCATTCACTACACACTCTTACCATCCAATACTTCTTAAAGTTTAATGTGCATGCAAATCACCTGAAGGATCTTGTTAAAACAAAGATTCCAACTCAGTATGTCTGCAATGGGCCCCAAAATTCTGTATGTCAAATAAGCTTCCACATGATGCTGACATTGCTGGTCCATGGGCCACACTGTGAATGGCGTGGCTGTAAAGGCAGCTTTCCCCTCACTTAGGTTTGCTTTGCATTGAGATTCTCAAGTGAGAGCCATCCAACTCCATGGATCATGAAATATATTCCACCATCACTGGATGAGGCATTTCTGAGATACTAGATCCTTCACAGCGGCCTTCACATCCTTGTTCCTCAGACTGTAGATGATGGGGTTCAGCATGGGGGTCAGAAGTCCATAGAAAAGAGAGATGAGTTTGTCTGTGAGGTCCTGCTTGTCAGCCCCCAGTGGGTCCTTGGACTTGGGCTTTCCATACATGAAGAGAATGGTCCCATAGAAGATGATCACCACAGTAAGGTGGGCAGAGCAGGTAGAGAAGGCCTTTTTCCTTCCCTCAGCTGAGGGAATCTTTAAGATAGTGGTGAGTATGAAGATGTAGGAGACAAAGATGAACAGAACTGGGACCCCCAGGAAGATCACATTGGCCACCCCCATGCTGATCACATTGATGGAGATGTCGGCACAGGCCAACTTTAGGACTGCCAAGATCTCACAGATGAAGTGGTTGATGACATTGTCTCCACAGAAGGGCAATTGTACTGCAAGAGAGATCTGCACCAAAGAGTTGGCTCCACCAGCCACCCAGGAGCTGATGGCCATGGGCACATAGGCAGCCTTACTCATGATCACAGAGTATCTAAGGGGGTTGCAGATGGCCACATAGCGATCAAAAGCCATCATGCCCAGGAGCACACATTCTGTGGCCCCCATGGCAAAGGAGAGAAACATCTGCACAGCACAGCCTGAGAAAGAAATGGTTTTCCTGGGAGTGAGGAAACCATCTAGGACCAGAGGGACTGAGGAGGTTGTGTAGCAGATGTCCAGGAAGGACAGGTTCCCCAGGAAGAAGTACATGGGCGTGCGCAAATGGGAGTCAAGGATGGTCACCAGGATGAGGATGCCATTCCCCAGCAGGATCACCAGGTACATTGACAGGATGAGCACAAAGAATGTTTTCTCTAGTTTTGGGTGGGCAGAGAGGCCAAGCAAGATAAATTCTGTCACAGTAGACTGGTTGGATGCTTCCATTTCAAACTCTCTCTTTCCTCCCTAGGAATATGGAAGGCAGAAAAATACATGTTTTCTGTTTGGCTTGCTTGAGTCAATGCATGGGGATTACAGCATAATGTCTTTATTATTATAGATAAATCTGAGATTCAACTTAAAAAAAAAACAAGTTATCTACAAGCCAGGCTATGTAGTAGACTTTGGAAAAGTATACCTTGGAAATTTAATAAAATGAAGGACACTTTGTGTAATTGATGATATTAATATAGCTAATGAAATGTCATATATCTACATATGCTGTCTCCAGCACTTTGTAGGGAAGCAGGGACCTCTGAGTAACTCTTGTGTCTGCTGTAAAATTGGAGACCTTGGGCTGTCACATTGAGGTCACAGGGCCCATTCCTCTGGATTTGGTTCCTTCTCACTCAGCAAGTTTCTGTTATAATCTGGCTTCCCACACTATCTTACATGGAGAGAATGTACTAGATCGAAAATACAAAATTGCTTATCTCCCTAACAGTTTTATTTCTGGCGTATACTGCACTTCTTTGTGAGTTTAGTTAATGTACATCAGTTCAACTGATCGTGACTCTCTTCTCTATAAAATCTGACCAAATTGAATTTCTGGAACCTATAACATGGAGTCCCCACCAAAGTCTCCAGAAATGTAATCTGGAGAGAAGAATTCCTCCTGTAAGCACATCTGACTGCCTGCATCTTTGCTACTCCAGGTCTTGGCCAGAGAAATAGAATCTTACCTAATTGTTGGAGCCCACTCAAAATTCACAACCCCAGCTTGGGTTAGATGGGGCCTTGAGTCACAACCACATCAAATTTGGAAAGAAATGTCATCCAATGCCATTTGGAGGTTTTGCAGACATGTTCACATGCAAATCTGCTCAACCTCCCAGGACCAAAATCTACACTGGAGACTATCAAAATTCTGCTGCCAAAGAGATTCAGAAAACAAGTGTCATCAGACCTAGGGCACAATGACATGGAGTTGTATCCCTAATAGCTCTCCCAATGATGACTGAAAATACTGATTTCTGGGTCCTTCCTTTACAGATTGCCTTGGCAATCTGTTTTAATTTTGTTTATTTGTTTTATTTATTTTTTAAAATAAAAAGTTCCTATGTACGTCAGATGTACACCAGAAATCACTGACCAATTTCAGTCCCACTCAGTTTCAAGGTAGAGAAACTGAGGACAGGTGAAGGGTTTATACATGGCCCTGAAGAAAGGGGGCTTTTTTTCTAATTGGCAATGATACAATATTCAGAAGAATTTATCTCAAGCTATCAGGGATTAAGAGATGAAGCAGAATCTGAACTTGATAGAATTCTTACATATTAAACCAGACCAGTTCCTACCCACAGTACCAGGGATCCCCTTTCCCTAGGTGAGTTCTCAGCCTCAGCTGAATGTTTTGAACAGTGAAGGCTCTGGGAAAGGTTATTAGGAAACTGGGCTGTCAGAGTTCTTCAGAGATCTGAAATCTGCCTTTTTCCTACTTCTCTCTTTTTCCACTGGGCCTAAGTGTGCCTTCTGGCCTTGTGCAAAACAGACCTGTTCTTTTGTCACAGTTACAGCCTTCAAAGCTCTGGAAATAGTTGTCTTATTGCCTGATCCATCCCTATTCCCAGCCCCCTCCCTGCACCCTTAGCACAAGACCTCTTCTTCCCATCACACCAAATGGTAAAAAGTTGGCCATGGCTAGAAATAGTGGTCTTGTTGCCCGACCCACCCAGCACTCACCCAGCTTGGGGACCAATCCAGGCTGCATCTATTGCTCGCAGGCAAGCAGGCTAATGGAGCTGAGAGGTTGCTGGTTTACTGGTGTCAGGACAAGAAGCTGGCTCTAGTGTTACCTGTCCATCTGGATGTCACCTATCCATAACCTAGGATGCCATACAGAGCACATCTATCAGATCTACCCTGGGAATAACAGGGTGCACCATGATGACATAGTATTTACCCTTTAACTGTTGTCTCACTCCCCAATGTCTCAGAATGACCCCGAGTGTAGAGAGGTCCAAGGTACAGCCACAGCCCCAGAAACCTTGCCTGACCTTGGGACTCAGTAAAACAAGAAGACAAGTCTGACTCTCAAGCCGGAGGCTCAACAAAGAGCCCCAGCCTGGAGGAGGCTGTACCCAGGGCAAGCTGGGCCTGGCATCCTCTTTTCTCTGTGCCCCATGCTGCTTTCCTCAGGGTCCCATAAAGACTCTCTCAGGAACTTAAGGCCAGGTTGCTTTGGGGCTGGAAACTATCCCAGAAGCAATTTAAAGTTTGGTGAGTGATTCAGAAATTAGACATTACCCAATAGACCCAATTAAGCAATGTTGTAAACCTACCAAAGCTCCCCTCTTACTACAAGAAGACTTCAGCTTAGAAAGTTTTCCAGTACAAGGTATTCAGAAATCTCCTGGGCTTTATCACAATGATGAATTCAAAGTGGCTCTGTCACTGATTCATGAAGAGTCTAGAAGGGAAGAAGAGCTGGTCTCAGTGATCCAAACACTCCCAGGAACTCTGGGGTAGACCCATTCCTCAGCCACCCAAGCATCTTCTCCCCTCCATCCAGTGACCCAGTGACTCATCCATGGCCGTCTCTGTCTCTCACTGCTACTAGCCTTCCCATCATTCCAATCTCCATGCTCCAAACATCTCATATGTACCTAGTACCTGGCACTAGAGAGTTAGTGTAGAAGGTGGACATGATGATCAGAAACGGATCTTTGTCTCTGGAAAACGCCCAGTACAGTGAAACTATCTGTAAACCAAAGCATGACTGAGAGTGCCACAAAGCTGTTCAGGAGGCTGGGTGCAGCAGGGGTGTGTGGAACTAGCCCAGGATGAGAATCACAGAGATTGAGGAGACAGTGACCCTAGATCCATTTAGAATTAAGAGGTTATAGGATTTAGAAAGAGATAGGACAGGATACACAGGAGACAAAAGAATCAACAATGACTATAATTCCTGCTGGGTTCAGGACTATTATACCCAAACATAGCATCTTGGCATATGGAATGTTTTAAGCTGAATGAATTTGAGAAACAGCTTGGATCTGAAATGTCTCCTAAAGGCCCATCATTAAAGGCATGGTCCCCAACTTGACACTATTGTGAGGTGGTGGCAACTTTAAAATGTGGGGCCCAGTGGTTTGTCTTCTGGTCACTGCACTATGCCCTTGAAGAGGACAGTGGAGCCCCACCTTTTCCTCTTTCTACCTTTCACATCCTGGCCACGATGCTCTGCCACGGGCCCCCAAACAACAGGGTCAACTAACCGTGGATTGAAACCTCCCAAACTGTAAGTCAAAATAGACCACTATATAAGTTGATTGTCCCAGATATTTTGTCACACAGTAATAGAAAGCTGAGTAACAAAAACAACATGTGTAAGAAGGTTTCTGTTATAGTTAGATATGAGGTGTTCCCCAAAGCTCACGTGTGAGACAATGCAAGAAGGGTCAGAAGGGAAATGATTAGATGATGAGAGTCATACTGCCCTTTGTATACCTGGAGTAAGAGGACATGTTTATCTCCAAAGATCAAAAGGAATCTAAGCACATAGGCCAGGCTGTTTCTCTAGCTTACCATACTTAGCTGCTTCTTTTTTTGCCTTATATTTCACCACTACTTTCTGTTTTTCAAGAAACCTACTATAAAGAATACTCAGGCTGGGCACAATGGTGCACACCTGTCATCCCAGCAATTGGGAGGCTGAGGCAGGAGTATTGCAAGTTTGATACCAGTCCAGGAAACTTAGTGAGATCCTGTCACAAAATAAAAAATAAAAAAGGCCAGGGATGTAGCTCAGTGGCAGAGTGCCACTAGTTCAGCTCCCAGTTACACCCACACACTCATACACACAAGAACTCAGGTTTAACTACTTCTTAGGGTCTTCATTTTTTAAAGGAAGGCTCCTATATTATGTTGAATAAATTTTTATGCTTTTCTCTTATTATTCTCTTTTCTTATAAGGCCCTAACCAATGAACCATAGATGGTTGGGTGCACACCAAGTCCTAAGAACTGGAAGAAAGCTGTGGAGAAGAGAGGTGAACCTGTCTGGCCTGGTGTGAGGGTTAAGGGTAGCTGCCAAGTTGTGACTGACATTTCAGTATGAAGTTTCTGTACATTTACTATGTCCAGCTCTTTTTCTAGAAATAAAGATATAACTAAGAAATAGTTTTATGACTGAAAATTTATGGTCAACTGGTTTATTATATTTGAGATACTGGTGAGACATTAATATTAATAAGAGTTGCCGCTGATGTACACCTGTTTCCCAAATCTTACCTTACTGTATGATCCCAACAACCCTATTAGGTAAGTATGAGGGTACAATAGTGTGATATAATAAAAAAATATGCATTTGCTCTTTATACCTAGTTTCTGCCAGAGAGTTCCTAAAACCCTTGTAATTTCCTGAGTGATGGGGAAATGTCTTTTGTTATTCATTATAAGCCTCTTTTCTCCATGCCTGAGTTTATGCTAATGAGGAACACTTGGTGGGCCCACAGGTAGCTTCCGGATGGGGGCTTGTGCCAGAGAAACAGATCATGTGATCAGAGTGCCACAATGTTCAGCCCCACTGACTGAAGAGAGCAGAGCCAGCTGGAGAACAAGTTCAGTCACCAATGACCAATGATTTAATTGATGTGCCAACTGTTGCAAAAAGTCCCAACCAAAGGTTTTAGGAGAGCTTCCAGGTTGAACACATGGAGGTGCTGGAAGGGTGGAACCCCCAGAGAGGGCACAGAAGTTCCTTGCCCTTTTCTCCATAGCTTGTCCTATGTAGCTCTTTCATTTGGCAATTCTTGAGTTGTCTTCTTCATAAACTGGTAAATGAAAGTAAAGCATTTTCCTGAGTTTTGTGAGCCAGTCTAGCAAATTTTTAAATCTGATGAGGGCATTGTGGGAACATCCCTGCCCATATACCTAGCTGTCAGAAGTATGGTGGCCTGCACTTGTGATTGGCATCTGAAGTGGTGGCAGTTTTAAGAGATTGGGCCTTCAACCTGTGGGATCTGTGTCAATACCAGGTAGTCCGCATGAGAATTAAATCAGTACACCCAGTTGGTGTTCAGAGAGCTGGAGAACTGGAAAAAAATTAAAACCCCACACACTTGGTGTCAGAAGTGTTGTATAAACAATAGAGCCTAGTAGGAGGATACTCTGATTGTGAGCAGGTGGAGGGAGCATCCTACACTGGGCCCTAGCACCTTGCATCCATGATGTCTACCATCTTTGACCTCTGCCTTCTGAATGCCAGGAACTCCCCCTCCATCACATTTGATTTCCTTAAAGGTTGAGGTATGTTGTGGGACCCACAGGAGAACAGTGATAGAGTCGGGCCTCACAGTTGGACAAGTGCTACAAGGTCAGTCAGAAACTAAGTGGCTCCTGTTGGGCCTTTGTGGCAGGGCTTTGGGTACCCCAGCTCTAGGGCCTGCCATTTTGAAGATTCAAACACTCTGGCTTGTGCCTCTTGCTCCAGCTGGAACTAACGACCCTTCACTCTCCTTCCTATATTCAGACTTCAGCTACCATGGATCAGGCTTCAGCTCCCTAATTTCTGTCTTTGTGTTACCCTGTTTTCTCCTCCAGTGCCTTCCTGCCTTTCATCAACTGTCCTTATGTTTTGAGTTCAACCTCCCTGCAAGACAGATCTAAGAGGTTTGGTAGATTAACAGGCCACTTCTTGGTCACTGGACAGCCTGCATGCTGACCGCCCTCAGGTCAAGTATCTGTGTGGCCTGGTCACCTGCACCTCATGGTCAGGGTACTTGTGGAACACAACACAGAAACAATGTAAGGAACATTCTCAGAAAGAGATGTGGGTTTTTCAGGTAAGCGAGGCATCCTAGAATGAAGCTGCAAACAGGCAAATATTGTTTGGATAACCTGCATTCAAACATCAGGAATTACACACTCATGCCTCCACTTGGTGTGTGCCTGCATGAAGAGTCTCCCTCCATGAAAAGGCAAAGCTTTGGCACCCTCACTTTACCTGGAGGCAACTGCTGCTCCCTCCTCTTTCCACTCTTCAGGGAAATTCTGTTTTTCTGACCTTGTAGTTTCTGATTATAGTCCTTGTTTTATCTCAAAATGGCGGCAGTTCTCTTCCCTTTCACAGAGGATGTACTGCTTCTCACGACTCCTGACAGAATCTCTAAATCCTCCAAGTGGGGTTGCAATCTTCAGACCAGAGATCTAGTACAAGAGTGGTGTCATGTCCACATGTGTCCTCAGGAAGACACAATAAACACAAGTGTCTCCCCGGGAAACAGGTTCAGACTACTCCCTTGGTGAGCTCTGCTTATCCTTGGCAAATCATATTTACACACATGAGTTTTGACCAATCAAAACCCACTATATCTCTTAACTGTTCTGTCAGCAGGGAGTGGAGTTGGGCAATGTGCTCCATTGGTGAGCCGGTCACACCTCAGATCTTCTCCAGAAAGTCTGGGCTTGGCCTCCATGGCCTTCTACCACAGCCAGGCACTCTCCTGGTCCCCCCTGGCTTCCTGGTTGGGTAGTCATCTTTCACTCTCTCTCCTCTCTCCCTCTCTCCCATAGAGGCTTGTGCCTCTTGCTAAAGGGTGCACTCCCTGAAGGCAGAGGCCTGGGTGTCTATCCTGCTCTGCCTTCTCTGGATTATACTCATTAGCATTTGCTGAATAAAGAAATGTGCCCATTCTATGGACCCATCTCTGTCCTGGGTCACACTCTGGTCAGTGACTTCCCACAAGGTTGAGGAGCACATGCGCAAATGATAGGAAGTTCAAAGTACAGTCACTTAGTTGGATGCCTGGTGAGGATCAAGGAGAACACAGCAAGTGCTAATCCAAGGAGATGAAAATTTAGAGAAAGTAAGACTTTCACTCAGACCCCCTCTAGCCAAACCACTGCATGAGCATAGCTTGGCCAACATAGCACTTACCTGCGGCACAGAAGAAAGAAATTGAGGTTTCTGGATGAATCACATAATCACTGACCAGCAGCAGGCTATTGGACTCTGTTGATGGGATTATAATGTTCAGAGGAAAAGAAGGGAGACAAGGAAAGAAGAGAAGAAGGTAGATGAGAAAGAGGAAGAGAGAGAGGGAGGAAACAAGGACAGAAAAGAAGGAGGGAGAAAAGGAGTAAAAGAAGCAAGCACCAAACTTCCGCCAGGGCCTTCAGTATAATTGGATCTTGGGGATATTTTCCCAGAAGATTACAAAGTTTCTAAACTGAGCACAACTCACTTTCCAAACTTTAAATGACTTCAGGGACTAAAACAGTCCCAAAGAACAAACTGGAATTTAAATTGAGTTCTAAGAGCAATGGCCAGTCCTTTGGAGATTGTGCCCTGAGAA